CTGTAAAAGGGAGCCTTTTATGTCAGTTGTTATATGCATAACGAATTTGTTTTATTTTGAATTATTATAACTGGGTTGTTACTAAAATTGCAGAGTACTTAGGGCCAATTACAGAGCTAAAAGCAGCTATACAATAAAGACTCTAATCTAGATCATTGATTTTCAAGTGGGATGATTTGGTTTCCAGGGACATTTGGCAGTGTATGGAGACACTTTGATTGGCATGACTGGAATGGTACTCTTGGCATCTAGTGGCCAAGAATGCTCTAAACCTCCTACAATGCGTAAGACAGCCCTCACAACAAAGAATTACCTAGTCCAGAATATCAGTAGTGCCAAGACTGAAAAACCCTGAGTAGGTGATTCATTTAGGGACATCCAATATTGATCTGACCCCTTCTCAACAACTTAGATTATACTAAGAAAGGACTTCAAGTTAAAAAATACAAGTCAGCCAAAAAATTAAAAATATATAACCCATAATCCCACCACCTAAATATACCAATGTAAACATCTGGAATGTATTCTTTTTTTTTTTTTTTTTTTAAGATTTTTTTATTTATTTATTTGAGACAGACAGAAAGCACATGAGAGGGGGGAGGGTCAGAGGCAGAAGCAGGCTCCCTGCCGAGCAGGGAGCCCGATGCGGGACTCGATCCAGGGACTCCAGGATCATGACCTGAGCCGAAGGCAGTCGCTTAACCAACTGAGCCACCCAGGCGCCCTGGAATGTATTCTCTCAGAAATTTTTTTGTCTATGTATTTACCAAATTTTTATTGAGGTCCTCCCTGGGCCACTGTGCCAAGAACTGGGAATAGAGCAGTGAACCAAACAAAACCCCTCTTTGTGTAACACCCACAAATACTTGTTTTTTTCTGTATTTAATAGGATCTTATATATGTACATCATCCGATCTGACTCACGTTAAGCTTGTTTCTCAAATTCAAAATAAAGCCAAAAGATTTTTCACCAGCCCTTGTTTCTCCTCTTTTCCCCTCAGAGATTACCTAAACAGATTGAAGAACGTAATGAAAGGCTAAAGGCAGAGATGTTAGGTAAGTTTGCTTCCCTTACTTTCCCATGACCCTAGTAGCTAGGAGGCAGGGGTGAGGGACAGCAGGATTTGGGATTTGCTGGAGGAGAACACAACAGTTAGAAATAGCTTTGGGGCCCATCGTTTGTTGTATGAGCCATAGCAAGGTCTGAGCTGTCTTTGACTCCAGAAGGGTTAGAGTGGCTTAGAGAGGATGTCAGCTTTTGAAAAACTAAACTTCTATTTTGTTTTTCCTGAGAAATTTTCCTGCCTTCAAGAATGCAAACATGATTCAACCTGGGATCCCACTAACCTCTATTTCAGATCATGAATTACATGAAAACAGTTGAGTTTCTTCATTGAATAAACAACTTAAGTTTTAATTTCATTAGAAAAAGCTACTGCAAGTCAAAACCGTGTCTGAACCAAGGGAATGTTTGTTTTGAAAATGGCTTTGAGAGTCCCATTAGTGTTTGAGAAGACACAAGATGGCAGCAATTAGGAGTAAATAGTGAGGGGACAGAAGACTGAGTGGAGCTCAGGGAGGATGGACTAATGGTTTAGTTCTCGTACCTGCCAAAGCATGTTATAGTTGGAATCAGAGAAGCCCCCCATGAATAGTCTGCTTGACTAAGGGGAGTAAAGGTTCTTGGACAGACACCTGCCCAGTATATTCTCCTCATAACCTGATACTTCCCTGCTCAAGATCTGTTTTGTATTCTTCCTTAATGAGTATTTTCTAAATCCACCATATGAACTGAATTTAATATATTGCAATCACATGGGCCTAAAGGAAAAAATCTTAAAATAAATTGAGCTTGGCCATTTGAACATATTTTCCAAAGGATCACTCTGCTCGCAGAGCTGACTGAGAAGAAGCCGTCCATGGGGCGCCTGGGTGGCTCAGTCGTTAAGCGTCTGCCTTCGGCTCAGGTCATGATTCCAGGGTCCTGGGATCAAGCCCCGCATCGGGCTCCCTGCTCTGCGGGGAGCCTGCTTCTCCCTCTCCCACTCCCCCTGCTTGTGTTCCCTCTGTCGCTGTGTCTCTCTCTGTCAAACAAATAAATAAAATCTTTAAATCTTTAAAAAAAAAAAAATGTAAACAGTCCACAACCCTCTGGCCCCTGCTGAGAACTGTTTTTAGAGTTGGGGAGACTTCTGGAGCCTTCCCCAGTTTTTCCAAAAGACACTCTTTCCCTAATTTACATATTTAAATTTGACACTATGTTTGAGCAGAAAAATTATTTTGGAGGTGCTCTTTCTTCAAGGAAGAGGGAAAAGAGCATTTTCCACCTATTCTAACAATGACTTTTGTTTTAGAAAAAAGATAGTATGTGTACTTAGCTGAGCTGTATTTCATGCTGAAAGAGATGATGTCGGGCTGGCCATGGTGGACTTGGAGAAGACCCTTAGGCGTTGTGCTCTGGGTCCATTTTTTTGAGCCAATATGAAACCCTAAAGGGGATGGATATAAACTGAATCTTGCAGCCATTGTCAATTCCAGATGGAATCAAAACTTCATTTCTCCTTGCCTGGCTGCCTCAGTCACTCTAACTTCTCATGAGCTGAAGTTTCTGTCTCCAGGGCTTTGGGTTTTACTTATATTGGCCTCTTCGTTTGAAATACTCAAGTTGAATTCGTTCTCAGTTGCTTCTGTAATGAATTCTCCTCTCATCAGACTTAAACAGTTTAAGTTGTTTGGTAAATATTATGTCAGTTTGTTGTTACACAGAAACAGTATGAATGGCTAGACTCCTTTATCTTCTTCCTAAGTATAAAGATCACGAGTAAGATATTGCTTCTAGGTGTTCCCCACCATCAGAGAGCCTAAAAGGGAGAAACCACTCTCTATATGGAATCTCGGCCCCACAAAAGCTTTCTGGAGTTCTTCCCTCCCCCTACAGATGACATAACTGTGCTTCATGTGCTGTGAGATCCTTGGAGGCTACTCACTCTGCAAAACAATGCCACCCCTTAAATGTTCTGAGCAAGCTTTTTGCAGCGGACTACACGATTTTTAGTGCTGGTTTCCCTGGAAATGCTTGGCTTCTATTGAAATACCAGCAGTTAAAGATTTGAAAAACTGTTCAACACCATTTGTCATTGGCATTTACGAAGTTAGGTAATTATTTAACAAGGTGAGCTTTTATTTAGGTTTGTTCAACAATCTTTGACTTGCTTTTTCAAGTCAAGTAAGTTGACTTCCTTTTTGTTAGAGGAGCCCTGTAGTTGCCTCCATGGGAAAAAAAAAATCCCAACTGGAATAATGAAGGGGGTAGAACATACTAAACATACTTGCTCCTCCCTTTCTAGCCTATCATTTAGAAATATCATTAGAACAAGCGTGGAGACCCAGAGTGGCCATCAGTCACAGTGCTGCAGTCCTTGCTAATCACAGAGAACAAGCATGTTGGCTTCAGATTTGAGGAAAGTGGTCAGCAGCTGGTGTGTTTCCTTTTGTCCTTTTCTCTGGGAAGCTTAGCCTCATGGCCATAATAAGCCAGGAAATTTAAGGTTTAAAAGGACTTAGGGTATGGTCATTGGTGCTGGACAGAGCACCCCAGGAGGCTGAGAGCTTTTTTAAAGGACTGGTAGTACTAGTTAGTGACCAATGCCCTATTTATTTAGCTTTGCTCAAATCTAGTGATTTTTCACTTTTTTTTTTAAATAGGAGAACTTTTTATTTTTTTATTTTTTAAGATTTTATTTATTCATTGGAGAGAGAGAGAGACAGATAGCAAGAGAGGGCAGGAGCAGGAAGGAGAGGGAGAAGCAGGCTCCCCACTGAGCAGGGAGCCCGATGGCGGGGCTCGATCCCAGGGCCCTGGGATCACGACCCAAGCTGAAAGCAGACGCTTAACCAAATGAGCCACCCAAGCGCCCCAGAGAACTTTTTAAAAAAATCTTAGGTGATTACACCAAATTAGAACAGCTAGTAAAAAAGGCAAGAAAAAAAATTTTACATGAAATCACAACATAGAAAACAAGGAGTGGTATTTTATTTGTATCAGTTCAAATATATAGCATTTATTATAATCAGAATAACCAGGCAAGTTTGAGGAACATAAAAATTTGAAATCGGATTTAGATGGTAGGCACAGCCTTATGAGTATCTGTATCTAATTTATTTCTGGTTTTGATTTCATTAAATTTTTGTCCACATAGGTAAACAATAAAAACAGTTTCAAAGGTAAAACTGATGAGACATTTTCAGAATCCCTGAAGCTCCTCTGCTCAGCTGGAGGACACTGAGGGCAGATGTTTAGTGTATTGCTCTGCATTCAGGAGCATCTTGGGCAGCATGGCTGTTTAACCTTAAAGGGGAGACGGACGAGTGCCTTCCTGGGGTAGATTCTATACACAGTGCGCGATGAGGTGAGCCTCATCCTGGCATTGAGGTGAGCGCGAGGGCTGTGTACTTAGAGGCCAGATGATGATACTAATAGATCTCTGAATAAGCCTTGGTTGCAAATAGAAAAGAATGGGATGAAGACTTTTGTCATCATCGTTTGTAAATTGTGTTGTCCTATATCCTAGCCCAGCCATGAAATCTCAAACAAGTAGAATTGCTAAGAATCTGTACATGTGTGTTTGTAGTTCTTCCTTGATCTCTTGTCATCTTGTTGAATTGAACTGTGAGGTGGAAGATAAAGTTGTTTGCTTTCTCCAAAAAGTAACGTGGGCTATTTTCACATCATGTAAGAGAGACACTCCGCCCGGGGCAGCCTGTCCCGCCAATCACTAGAGACAGGTGTCCACAATTAGTTTTCAGTATCAGGCTCCTGATCAAGATTCCACTGGCCAGCTACAAAAGCAAATTATCTTTTGGGGCTGGTTCGCAGAATGCATTGCTCAGACCAGCTTCACATGAGAACTCGTTCAGAATGCCCGTTTTCAGGCTCCACGCCCATCCTACTAAATCAGAGGTCAGGGTGGAGCGCAGTGCTCTGAGTTCCGACAACCCCTCTAGATGTTTCTGGTGCACACTCGCGTTTATCCAGCGCTGTGTGGGTGTGTGACTGATGCGTGGGGGCCGTGTGGAGGCAGCTCAAGAGAGGACCTAGAAGGGGGGATGGAGGGTGCATTGCAGGGATGCGGCCAAGAGTGGTCAGCCACTCTGCTCTGAGAAGTTCCTCCTGAGCAGAAGCAGCATGTCACTGAGTTTTGCCTTTCCGTCCTTGTGCTGTAGCTGCAGCAGAGAAAAAAGAAAAAGACATTTCAGAATGCACTAGACTTGAGAGCTCAGACAGCTCTCTGTGGCCAGCCATTCCTTGCCATGTTCCATTTCTGGTGTTTATTTGGACAAGCTGTCACTGGAGAAATCGAGTCAGCTCACTGTAGGTTGTCACCGTTTACCAGGTGGGTAGGGGCTACCACCCAGGTCCTCGGGTGGGGTTATATCCCAGTAGCTGGTGGAGCTTGTGTTCTAACCGTTCCATGAGATGCTGCTCTTCTTACCTTAACCAAGAGCTGCCAGGTTCCTGTCCTGACCTGGAAAACCTAGAGCCACCCCTTGAAACTCTCTGACTCCCTAAAAGGAACCAGAGACCGGGGGGACTGGGCATAGCCCAGTAGTCCTTTCCTCTCCCGGACACCTGCACTGCTTCCTGCCCGGCTGCTCCAGCACACACCTGGGCCTTGTTCACCATCCGGCCCAGGTCTTCCCCTCATACCATCACCTCCTTACACCTTGGAACATATTTCTGCTCTCCTGATTCCTGAAGTTTCTCCAGTGTTCATTCCTGACCACTAGCAACCTCATGAGCGCACGTTTGTGAACTGATTTAAGAAAACCATCTTGTCTGATGCCATGAGCAAGAACTATAGAAGGGAGCTTAGGAATAATTCATTCATTATCTTGGCAAAGATTGAACATATTCTTTTGCCTCTCCCTGTGCATTACAAGCTTCTCTGCTCTGCATAGTACAGGGTTCTAGAATCAGCTCCCTTACCCAGGGTCACAAGAAAGTCCTGACATTGTCACTGACTCTTAAAACTGCTGAAGCCATACATGTGGATACCCTGGAAATCGAGGGTTGTTTTTTTTTTTTTTTTTTTTCCCATATTTCTCTTCATGCGACGACCCTAATACTCATTATACATGCAGTGTTTTGTACTCCGGCCACATGAGTGCCTCTGAACCACTTCCTTCCTGCAGTTATTCCCTCAGGGAGTATCAGTGTGTAGATTCTCACTGCCCTACTCTCTGCCTCCTTTCCTGGTTGTCACTCCTTCAGCTCCTCTCAGGAGAATCACTCCTGCTTCTTTGACAGTTCTTGGTAAGGCTTAGCTCAGCCTCCGCTCACCGAAGAGCTCATATAGGCATTTGATTTGGCTGTGAATTTTTTTTTTTTTTTTAAGATTTTATTTATTTGACAGAGAGAGACACAGCAAGAGAGGGAACACAAGCAGGGGGAGTGGGAGAGGGAGAAGCAGGCTTCCCGCGGAGCAGGGAGCCCGATGCGGGACTCGATCCCAGGACCCTGGGATCATGACCTGAGCCGAAGGCAGACGCTTAACAACTGAGCCACCCAGGCGCCCCTTGGCTGTGAATTTTATCTTCCATATTCTGTGCTGTCTCTTGATAAGCCTTTTCCTCAGAGGAAAGCAAGAGGCCGCTTCTGTGGCTTAGCGCCTGCCTCGTAAGAGGGAATGCCGTGTCAGGATTCCCTTGCATCCCACTGGGCCCAAACCCCAGGGATCTTAAGGACGTGAAAACAAATGGCATTCCTGGCTCCCCTCGGGGTAAATGGACACAGTTAGTAGCTCCAAAGAGAAGTTACACATAATGAGTCCATTGGGTTGTTGTGATACAGTGTTGCTTGGAGGCATAGAAACTAGTATTTATCAGTTCTGGATCCAGTGACAAGGGTTGTTCTCTCGTCCAATAAACATTCTTGTCTGAGCACAAGCAGTTTTGGACTCTTCTCTTTGCCTGCAGTCTAGACTAACAGAGGAGATCCTAAGTTAGGGACATGCTGACACATTGCGGCTGAGCGATGGTGCCGGATCTGCTGCAAGTGGAAGTAAGGCAACCTAACTGAGTGCTGCCCAGATAGGGAAGGTGTAGAATTTGGCAGCCAGTGGAAAAGGTGGCAGATAGGCTAATTTGGCAAATGATTCTGTCTTAGGGACCAGGAGGCTGCATTAGTCCGTGCGTGTCCAACCCGACTCTAAACAGCAGCAGGAAAACTCAGTGTGATTGTGTACGTATTTATGGGCATGACCGCTACTGAAGATGCTTCTCTGCTGTTACCATAACAAAAGATGAGTTTTCAGAAACCAAAAATTTGTTGGTTATACCGTAATGTTTTGCTCTGTTCCCTTATGTTCTCACTGGCCTTAGTCTGATTTCAGAGCTTTTTTTTTTTTAAGGTCTTATATATAGGTGGAGAGGGGCGGAGGGAGAGGGACAGAGAGAATCTTAAGCAGGCTCCACACCGAGGGCGGAGCCTGACGTGGGGCTCAGTCTTATGACCCTGAGATCATGACCTGAGCCGAAATCAAGAGTCGGACGCTTAACCGACTGACTGAGCCATCTGGGCGTCCCTTAAGATTTCATTTTTAAGTAATCTCTACACCCAACTTGGACTGAGAACCCTGAGATCCAGTGGCGTGCTCTGCCGACTGAGCCAGCCAGGCGCCCCTCAGAGCTGCTCTACCCAGCATTAGACATTCAGATGTTTGTTCGGGGAATAAATGGCTTCTTTCCCATGACGTTGCACTCACTCCAGGGTCTCCTCTTCTGATTCATTCTTCCCTGTGGCACAGGAACCACAGACCTCTGGCCTGGCTCATAAGAACCCACCGGGACGTGCCCTTCCACCTGCCTTTGAGCCCACTGAACACACTGCCTGCCCTTGCCCGCCCTTGCCCGCCCTTCTTATGCATTTATTCACACCATGTCTGCCTGCGCACTCACTCCCTCTGCCTCAGGTGGCTGCAGTCCTGTCTGTCCTTGCCTGGTGATCCCAGTGCACACGCTTCCCCGAGAAGCTCTGCCGGCTCTCCCGTCCTCCCTGCCCCCGGGCACGGAGTGGACCTCCTACGACCTCTCCTGGCACACTGTGTCTCCGCTTACCTCTGCACCTCCGGCTTCCGTGTGTAGGGCTGGTCTTCCCCATTGCATCGCAGCTTCTTCTGGGGCGGTGGCCGTCTCCGGTCCCTGCGTCCCCACCACACACAGCAAGATGCCACACACGAGAACTTAGGACCGTTGGTAACCTCAGGTCTTCCCTGGCGCAGAGACTTTTTCACTGTGTGTCTTTAGTAGGTGTCTCGGGCACTTCGGTCCGTTGTGTCACTGAGCAAGCAGAACTTCCTGTGTTCTGTTCTCTTCTGTTCTGTTCTGGAGATAAGAGAGTGAAACTATTGTGGAATGGTAAAAAGGCTGAGAACGGAAGGACAAAGACCCATAGCCTCGTGTGTAGGTTGGGTCGTCAGGGAAACCGAAGCCAGGATGGGATTCGAAGTACAAGAGACTGACTGGGGAAGCACCTGCAGGGGGGCCTGGGGCGGAGAGCCGTCAGCTGCCTGTGGAGGAGAGACGGAAGTCTCACACAGCACTGCAGTGCTAAGAAAGTTCCAGCAAAGCCACCGAGGAGCCACAGTTGGCTGTCACAGTACCTGGTCTGCCCCTCCCGAGCTGGGTCACGGACGGGGACGCGCCGCCCGCAGTGAGAGAAGCACGTTTTCCTGAGTGCCATCCACAGAGTCAGTGCAGCGAAGAGTGGCGGGCAGGGTCTGCAGCCAGTCAGGCAGAGGGAAAAGCTGCCAAAGGCCCTCCCTGTCCCTCTCCGTCTGTGCCCCTGCCGCGCCCCGTCAGCCCCGGTCCCTCGAGCGCTGGGACGTGCAGGCTGTCCTGGGACGCCTCCCTCGGCTGCTGGACTGAGCACGTCGCAAAGGCCGAGAGCCAGCTTTACTCGGTAGCTCCCACCGTGCCGCAGAGTAGGGGCCGCCTCCGTGCATGGGGCGCCCCGGCCTCGGCCGCCACTCCCAGTGGCCCCTCGAACAGAGGCCCCTCGAACAGAGGCTCAGGCGGGCGGCGCTGCTCCCTCCGGCAGCGCAAGGTGAAGACCGCTTGAGATGCAGTCTCACTTGGCTCACTCCGAAGAGCCAAGGCTTGTGCCATCAGTGACATTTTATTCGGCTTCCCGCCCTCCTTCGTCACCCCCAGGATAGACTGCCAGGGCTCTGGGGCACTCCCGCTTGCCCGAGGACGCCGCTCCTCTCTGTGCTTGGTGTGGCCCCTCCCTGGGCGGCCGCCACCCGTGTGCAGGGATGGACTGCGCCCGGCACCTGTGTTCAGCTTAGGGTTGGGAGGCCTGCCTGCAGAATGGTCAGCCTGGGTTCTGGGAGCTTCCTCAGAATATGGTGAGCTTCTGGGAGCTAAATCTTAGACTGAGACCAAAAGTTCTTTCCATGAATTATGAGAAAATGCCTTGAAATGTCAAGGTTATGTGTCTATAAGTTCTTTACCTGGGCTTTTCTTCAAGGTGGGAGGCCTCAGAGGGATAAAGCTGCTACACGTGGGAGGGCGGGAAGGAACCTGTAGCTCCGACGATTAGGGATTTCTTTCCCTTTGACCCCCATTCTCCTCTCCATTGGAAACAGACCTGCAAGAAAACAGTTCAGAGAGGGTCAAAACTGTGTATTCACCTGTCCCAGCCAACATTTTCCAAAACACTCTTAGTTTCAAATATTCTAGCCCTTTGCCCCTGTAAATCTCTCAGAAGTCCTGAAAACTCCAGCTTGAGACATACAAACTCTGTGGCACTCATATGTGTAGAATCGGCATAAAAATCCTTGGTTATACCATGTGTCTCAGTTTTGGCTAATGGACATGAACTCACCTGTGATTAATGCGTAAAGCCTGGATCCTAGGGAGGAGAGACTGGACTGTTGTGGTGGGCAGTGCTGTCAAATGAACAAGAGTCCCCCATCTCCCGAGAAATGATGATTTTGGTGTAGAAGCTCAGGCTTTCCTTGAGTCTGAACCCAGGCTCGGTAGCAGTCTGTCGAGTGGGATCAGATTCAGCAGGAGGCTGCAGCTTTCCACCAAGAACAGACTCAGAGGGTCCCCTGCCCTCGGCGTCAGGCCCTGGGGCCTGGCAGGGTACTTTCACCCCCCGGGAGCAACAGTCCGGCCATCACTCATCCCAGGGCTTGTGTCCTTGGTTGGCTCTGGCCAGTCTGGACAGGAAGCTTTGCTTTCCCAGAGGGCACCAGCAGGGCTCCCTCACAGTCGTCTCCAAAAGCACAGGCGTGGAGATGGGTAGCCCTGAAGTGACCACATTGCTGAGGGGACTAAAGGTTTCACAGTTTTAAAAGCAGGACTTTCTTTAACTGCAGAGGGATGCTCTTTATGTTTTCTAGTCAGATAGTAAGGCAGGATCGGTTGGGTCTTCCTGCTTCTGTTTATTCCCCATATTTCTCTGAATTTTCCCTTTTACATTGCAGGTAAACTAAAAGATCTTGGGAACTTGGTTCTTCGACCTTTTGGCCTCTCCACCGAAAATTTCCAGATCAAACAGGATTCCTCTACTGGTTCCTACTCCATCAATTTTGTTCAAAATCCAAATAATAACAGATAACAGAGTTAACAGTAGCTTGTAAAGCTGGCTTGGAGATTGTGTGCCGCTTGCTATTAACAAGGGGGAAGGCCCTGCCAATATTTAACTAAATTAAAAGCATTTTATCTCGAAGACAGGCTGTCCACTGGGGCCCAGTGTTCCCTTTTCCCTCTTGTTTTCCGATCAGGCTGAAATGCTCTTCTGATGTCATAAGCCTAATTTGATTCCCATTTTAAGGTGGTGTCTGCAGCTCTTGCCCTTGGTTCTGGCTGTCCTTGGCTTTGTCCGGGACGAAGCCTGCTTGTCAAAGCTGACCTCCCTGAGCTATACACGCGAGCCCAGCCAGAGCATCCCCCGGCCCGAGCAGACCTGCCGGTCGGAGACTGCCCGAACATGATTCCTGGGGTTCCCGCCTGCTGTCCCCTGTCCCTGATGACTCACACCGCCCAGGCTGCCGGGCATGGGCTCCGGCGTCTCCTGGTTTCTCCTGTGGTAAATAAACGCTTTCTGTGACGGTCTGAGCTGGCTTGTGAATTTTGTCCCCATAATGACAGCTAAAGCAGAAGGCTTCTCTGGCTTCGGGAGCAGTGTTGCTGAGTGCTGCCGGAGTCCACAAGTCTGCCCAAAGTCTTAGTTGCCACCTCGAAGATGATCTTGAAGAAGTGACTGTTCTACCACGTGCTAGAACGCAGAAACTCCACCTCACAAACTGTCTCGGGCTTCTTCAGGTTTGTGCAGATCATTATAAAATGGGTGTTTTTGCCCAAGCATCAGTCTTAACAGTTTCAACCAAAAACAGCTTCCGTCAGGTATGGTGGTATGTAAATCCTGGAACAAACTGTCATCGTTTAGGCTACCTGAACCCAGAGGTTTCAAAGGTAGGTTTAGCATTTTTTTCCTAGGCATTGATGATTACTGGTGAAAAGCTTCCGGTTGCTCTGGTTGGAGTGTCAAAGGCAGTGACGTGCAGGTTTCACCTTTTTAGAAGGGAAGCGCAGGTCTCATGGTGTGAGTCACGTTGCGGGTCTCCTCCCAGCGGGAACTGTGAGCGTTCCTCGAAGCCCCTTCAAGAGCGTCGGTGGGTAGCGGAAGCATGTGCAGTCCTGACTCTACGCTGAGCCTGCCTTCCAGATGGTGAAATGAACTTCTTCATGGGATTAGCAAGGGAAAGGAGAGGGAGGAGGAGTGTGGTTACTTCGGCTTTGCTGTCTTGATGGCAGATCTGGCACCTGACGCTCCAGAAAAAAGTGTGGGTGCGCAATCCCGGAAGTTGACGGAGCCTCGGCGGTAAGCGTGCCCCGCGCGGAGGGCGGTGCCGGGGGGCCCCTGCCAGCTCTCCCCCGCTCGGGACCCCTTCACGCTCGAGGGAGGCTTGAGAGTGTTTTGTTTTTGTGGATTATATCCACTGATGTTGACCAGATGAGAAATTGAAACAGGATTCTCTTAACAATTTAGGTAATGTCTTTAAAAATAACAAATACATTTCCTATTAGTATAAGTACTATTTTTAGAAAAACACCTCCCAAAACAAGAACATTTCGGAAAGAATGCCATCATTCTACATTTTTGCAAATCCCTTTCATGTGTGGCTTGATAGAATATAGCAAGATTCTTAGATCTGCTCCGGCACTCGGGTCATCACAGTATCATGTCCTGGAGTCTGGCACATCCTGCACCGCGCCTACCGGTGACAGGACAGTGTGAAAAGCAGATGCCTCCTTAGTATTGTCGCGAAAATAGCTGTGACCCCGTGGAGACCTGAAAGGGTCTCAGGAACTGCTGAGAACCTCAGACTACTTGTTTTCTTAATGTAAGCTCCACACCCAACCTGGGGCTTGAACTCTTGACCTCAAGAGCAAGAGTCACATGCTCTACAGACTGAGCCAGCCAGGCGCCCCTCAGACCACATTTTGAGAGCTACTTTGCCAGATTAAGACTTCCAGCTGAAAGTTTTTTGACTTTTTAACAGCTGAACCTCGGACGAGGTCGGGGCGCTGACCCTCCCCAGGGAGTGGGGAAATAGCCGTGTTTGCCTCCATGCAGCCTGCCTTAAGACGCTACCCTTGCTGCGGGCTCTAGAGGTTTTGCTTCTCACGCCTTCCCCCTTGTCCTCTCCCTTGTCCTCCACCTCCTCCACCACGACCTCCATTTCCACCACACTGAAATCTCACAGTGGGCCAAGTAATGCATCTGGAAAGGAAAGGATGGGAATCTAACTAGATGTCAATTTTCTTAAGGCAAAGAGTGTTGTTTTGGGCATTTTTTTAATCAACCACAGTTATTTCTCTACTTACAAATCTGGAAGAAAAAATAGATTCAAACCTTTTGAAAATGTCTGAGAATAGAATAGAAATGTTTGATATTGCGTATGTTCTTATTCCAATAATATTGCAATGGATCAAAATAATTTTGGATCTCCTTCTAGAATTTCCTTGAAGACTTTAAGACACATTTTATTTAATTACTATGATCTACTATCCCCTATCTGCCTCCATGAGCTCCTAGAAGGTAAGGGCCATATTTATTTTCTTAATAGCACCAACACCTACTCCTCTACTTGAAACCTAATTGGCATTCTACAAGAAGTGTTCTCAGTGTGAATAATCATCACTATCCCGAAGTCTCCAGATTCTGTACCCTTTGGTCAGTCCCTGGTTTTTAAAATGTCTCCTTTGCTAACCATTATCTGTTATCTCAAGATAACTAGAAACTAGTCATTTTCCTCAAAATTTTAAGACCCAGCAAGTGATTGAAATGTCAGCTTAGGAGGTTTATGTGCTACTTTTCACCTTCCAAAGAATGTGGTAGGAGGCAGTGAAAGACAACAGCTTGGTTTCACCTAGCAAGGACCAGTGTATTGATCTGGACTTCCCTGTGTATTGCCCAGAACAGCCTCGGCACCCTGCAGTTTATGGTCCCAGTTAAATTTCTACAGTAGTGTTTTTATTTGAGTAGATGTGAGGTTCTGGCTAATTTAGAGGGCTCAGCTAGGATTTCTCAACAGTGAATCCAGTACTTGTACACATAAAGCCTAGACACTTTGTAAAAAGAATCACTTTAAACCAGTCGAGCCCATCATGTGCCGCCATGTAGAATGCCCTCAGAGGTGGGCGCCTGGGTGGCTCAGTTGGTTAAGCGACTGCCTTCGGCTCAGGTCATGATCCTGGAGTCCCGGGATCGAGTCCCGCATCGGGCTCCCTGCTCGGCAGGGAGTCTGCTTCTCCCTCTGACCCTCCTCCCTCTCATGTGCTCTCTCCCATTCTCTCTGTCTCAAATAAATAAATAAAATCTTAAAAAAAAAAAAAAAAAAAAAAAAAAAAAAAAAAAAAAAAAAAAAGAATGCCCTCAGAGGTTGAGCATTCAACCTGGCTAGTAAGCCTGTGTCTCCTGGTCTTTAAATTTTCATTTTTGCATCTTAGATATATGCAAGGATTTGTCCTGAGACTTTCAGAAATCCCCACCTTGTCCTCTCGTTTCAGCCTCTCCACCTTCTTCCCAGATCACATTTCCGCTGAATCTTGTGTTCTCTGTATCTCCACACTGTGTCTTAAGCACCCCTCCAACTTTCACTTGAGCGACTTCTGTTCACCGGAGCCTCCTGCAGAGGGGTTCACCTGGGAAACTGGGACTATTTCTGCAACAAAGTCCTGCTCGTCTAGTGCTTTTTCTATGGGGAGTACACTGTGGATTAGTTCCTTTTCCTCACATCATGGATCTGAATTATGGTTAAATTCTATTCTTAAGATCCCCTTCTTTTTCTAAGAAATACTTTCCATACAGGTTTGCCTTGCATCACAAGCACTGCCCCTGGGTTCTTCCCCCGTATCCTTTTGCTCCTTGTCCCACCCCCCAGAATGCCATATCTTATTACAAGTTATTGTGCTTGTAGGAATAGAGACTATTACACCTTGCTGAGATGTGGAGGCTGGGGAGTGGCCGAGCCTACTAGTTAATGACCTGAACATTGCGGCACTGGGCCTACATTTGAGCTTCAGTAAAATGTCAAGACCTCACACATTGGACCTTCAGAGTTACTCAGGTATAATCAAAGGCATGAATCTTCGTTTAGTCTATAAATGACGAAAGTCCTATTTCCTGCAACATTTTGTGTCGTTGAAGGTAGGGACCTGCTTTTGGAAATACTGGGCTTGGTGATTATTTCTGGTGCTCCGTGGGTCCCTGAGCTGGCCTCTAAGACTGTTGCTGAATTACATTTCACACGGCTCTCATGCTGGAATTCAGACTGATTCAGAAAGATCAGACAGGAACTTTGTGGAGGCATTTTACTCTGACTAGACTACTGCGGGATGGGAAACTGGCAGCAGGTATTAAATGCAAACCTGATTGGAAGATGTCTTTGCAAGGGTTGTGTGTCTGATCCTAAGAGCCAACCAGACTTGCAGATCCTGTCTTTTACAACTGGTTTGGCCAAAGTTGGAATGTCTAAGGGGAAGGTATTGATAGGAGACTGAGGAGGGAGGGAACAGCTATGCAAGTGAATGGCTGCTTTAATCTCCTTAAGAAAGATCTTTAAAGGGAAGGGTCCAGTAACCCTCTAAAACCAGAGTGCCAATCTGAGAAACCGCCTAGGACAGGAAAAATCCATGACTTAAGCCCTCTGTCCCTCTTCCTGTGGTATCTGAGCTCTTCCTTAAGCTCACTGTTGGCTTGAAAGGCAGGGCTGAGCCGCAGGAGCTCGGTGTTTTGGGTGCAGCCTGTGGGCCTGCAGCCCAGGGGTCGCCGCCAGCTCGGCTCCATTTGTTGTGTTTGTTCCTATTGCTGTGATCACTTGTCCTGCGATCCTTTCACCTCATCCCTCCCTTATTTCTTAAGGCCTTGAACTCTTCCTCTAATACTTTTATTACCATGTGCCTGATACCTACCCCTAAGCCCTAGTAAAATCCTGGAGCAATTTCAGGGAGATGTGTCCACCCCTTTTCAGCCTGCACCCTCTGTGCTGCGATAGTAACAAGCCTAGTCCTTCTGTCACCTTCATTTCCTTTAATGAGGAAGTATATGCAGAGTATGGCAGAAGGGGCTAGGAAATCTGTGCCTTCAGGGAACTGTTCAGAAAAAGGAGGTGGTAATTTCCAATTGCTTCCTTCTCTGCAGAGCTGCCCTGAGTCCACACTAGACCAAGCCCAATAATGCTCCTGATAAGGAGAAATGGATTACTTGCCACCAGCCAGCCCAAGAGGTGGAGCTAAAATCACCCTAGAGCCTCAGAATAATTGCTTCAAATCCTTCAAGGGGCAATCAGAGAAACCAAAATCATGAGTTTATGAAAACTAGTGAGGATGGCCTCATACTTCAAAGCACAAAACATTTCAGTCCTCCTGGCTACAAGCTGGTAATTGGTGAAGCTCGGGGTGGATACATGGGGTTTGTTGGTTATACCAGTCTGCCTTTACAAATGTTTGGAATACTTAGAAGAATACTGCCATCTTCTCATTTTCTGACCTTCTCAGGTCTGCAAACTAGGAATAAGCTCCACCACGTAGGAGTTAAGTTCTTTTGGCCAGAACTAGAAATATGACTCTTGACCTTTTTCCTTTCACCCAAGGGGAAACTTTGGAAGCTCACATTTCCCTCTTAGCTAAAGCATGGCATGGCCTGCCGTCCCCCTGCCAAGGAAGCCCATAGCTAATAATTTAGGGCCATGATTCAGTCCCAGCTCCTAGAGCTCTAGCTTGCTGAGAGTACAGCTCCCCCGGGTGGGACTTCTACCGCAGGCACTCCACCGGGGCTCACGTTAGGCAGCCGCCTCACGCCGTGTCACATCGCCTGAGCACCCAAGTGCCCTCCAACTCCCCAAATGTAGCAAGTCTGAAATCTACAAAGGGTCAAGTCTTCAAACAGACTAAAGACAGAAATCCTCAAGGAGGCCAGGAATGGGAAGCCAGGGAATGGAGTAAAGTGGGGAGAACAGTTTACATTTCAGGGAATGTAGGCTTTGGTGGACCGTCTCTGGTAGTTGGTCTCAAATATATTGTTTTGTAGAGAGAGTTTGACTACCCCAAAGTAGAATAACAGCGCTGTTTGCAACTTTGCTTCATGAAGTTAACTGGGAGGACAGATCGGATCATTTCCTGGGGCTGTGAGACTCGGATTAGATCCTGCCATTGGCAGAGCTGGCATCAGAGACCCAAGAGTTAGAGCTTCAGCTTGCGCTGCAAGTGTTTCCAGCCTGCCTCGTTTTCCACAGGTGTTAAAGAAGCTGCATTTAGATATGTGAAGGATCCCCTCCACCCCCTTGCTCCTACAACACTGCTCTGTGTCTTCCCAAGCCCCAGCTGTGCTTGTTCTAGAACAGTGCCACAGCCGGCGCTCCTTCGCCCTGACGTACTTCACGCTGCTGGTACAGTTCGCCTTTGGATCACAGGTCTGAGCTGTGCACTCAGGGCCCACAGGAGTTAGGCACTGACTGAGCTTAGAATTCAGAAGCAGAAGATCGCAGACTGTTTCACTCAAGGTAAACAAATTCCGTCTTGGACCAGTGCGGCTGTGTGCTTGTGTCAGGAAGGTAACTGGTAGAACTCAGAATGCACATCTGTAGATGAAAGCAGGTCGTCTGTATAGAAGCATCCTCCTCCTAAGTATCACCAGCTCACTCGGCTTCCTTTGCGTTAGGTTGCTTCGATAGATGTGCGTCACGGGAATCAGGAAAGGGGCTAATCCTACAAGTATTCTTAACTCTTAAGAATGGTGACCTAGGGCGCCTGGGTGGCTCAGTTGGTTAAGCGACTGCCTTCGGCTCAGGTCATGATCCTGGAGTCCCGGGATCGAGTCCCGCATCGGGCTCCCTGCTCGGCGGGGAGTCTGCTTCTCCCTCTGACCCTCCCCCCTCTCATGTGCTCTCTCTCTCAAATAAATGGGTAAAATCTTTAAAAAAAAATGGTTAGCCACTGGGGTTGGCCGGCTCGCTCTTCTTCTCGCACAGTATTCCTGACGTATATTCTTTCATTCCAGGTTCATTGCCTTCTTGGTATCAGAGCAAAGGAGTTAGGCCATGAAATTTCACTGTGATAGTCATCACTAGAGAAAGGTATGCTTAAAGATAGTGTGCGCTCTACAAAGCACTGAGGGAGGAGTCAGAATCATTACTTAAAAAAGGAGAAATGAGTTAACAGGTATAAAAGCAGGAAAACAGCTTACCTTTTTCTATAGTGCATATTTGCAGTGACATGCCCAGCATGTCCAGGAAGGAACTGGTACATTCCATACATTATTTCGGGGCATGAATCCAAACTTCGATTTCCTCACATGAAGACAGCACCAGAAAGATCCTAAGTTGTAGCCACTGGTCTCATCGCTCACTCCCTCTCCTGTTAGGAGGTGTGTCTATAAGCCTAGCGACACACGTACATAACATGATCGGGAGTGTATCGGGGCGGGGTGGCTGTCACGTGGAGGCCTTCCCGATAATGTGCACATGGCTTGTCTACCTTGGTTCTCTCTAGGACCATTTTCATTACTAGGAAACTTGAGGGGGGAAAAAGATACTAACAGAGCCAGACTCCAGTGACGGCCTTTTTAGACCCAGATAAACTGAAATGAGAGTACATTTGAGAGTGAAGATTCCATGTATACTCTGCAATAACAGGCAGCCTTCAGAAGGATTGCTTTACTCAAATGGGGGTGCGAGGGAGGCACACTAACCTAAGTTTCTGGGTCAGTCTAAAAATAATCTCAGCTGTCTGGTAGGTTTTAAGAGGCTCATTTTTTTCCTGACAACGGAGTGTTTCTGGTCACACACATCAGACATGCTGGGCTTTTAAAGAAGCAACCATTTATCCATAAAGGCAGGACTTCTTGAAACTAAAACAAACCTACCAGTAGGTATTTGCTCAAGGCGCCTGGGTGGCTCAGTCGTTAAGCTTCTGCCTTCGGCTCAGGTCACGATCCCAGGGTCCTGGGATCGAGTCCCACATCGGGCTCCCTGCTTGGCAGGAAGCCTGCTTCTCCCTCTCCCACTCCCCCTGCTTGTGTTCCTGCTCTCGCTATCTCTCTCTGTGTCAAATAAATAAAATCTTTAAAAAAAAAAAAAAAAAAGATATTTGCTCAGTTACATCCAACTCTGAAGGGTAGCATATTTGTTTCCATCAGAAAACAGTCATGTTTGTACACAGGATCCTAATTAAACTCTTCACCCTTCCTCTATTTCTTGATCATAGAGGGTCCCATTAAAATCTCCCAATGATTAAAGAAAAACAGGCTGTTCTCCTAAGGAAGCAATGTTACTTAAAACAGCTCCCTAAAGAACAACTAGTGGTTGCATCTTTAATATATAAAAAATAACCTTTAAAAGCCTAATTCCTAAAAAGTAAACAAAAGTTTTGAAATAACTAAATTTTAAAAAATCAAGACTTTATTGGATAAATGTTACACAACATTCTTTAACATTTAAGTCTTCGCGTACTTTAGATGAGAAACAACTTTTGTCATTCAAGTCTACAGAATGAAAGAGGCTTGTGAAGATGTGAAATACAAAGGTAGCATGAAGCAGAGCTTAAATATTAAGCAACTAAAGCAATGAAAAGTGAAATAGCAACATGGTATGTCTAGATTTTAAGTACCACCAAATTTCATTTATTAAGAAATGAAAATGTGGTTTATAACAAAACACCTTTGAGAATTTTGTCATGAGAAAAAATATTAGATACTTAAAAGAATTGGGAGAGATCAGATTTTGCCTTTGTGTTATTTCTTGGTCACTTCCATCACTCTGCGCAAAGTATTGTACAGTCCGCCATGGCGTGGAGTTGTCTGGTTCTTGAAGTGAGCCTGAAAGGTACTGCTGGTGTTCAATCTCAGAAAGAACTAGATGGACCCCACCCGAAGCCCTGGGGCCGGGAAGAGGAGGGGGCCGTGGAGGTACACATAATCTTTAGAGCTCCCTGCTGCTCCAGGTTCTGAGCTGACTTTTTCAGATTGGATCAAATGTGCATAATGACTTCGTGAAGATTTCCCAAAGGACTTTAGAATGTGCTCCAAGCTTTTAATTACTTGCAGTGCAATTAGAATTTGTATTAAGCTCATCGAAGACTGTCTTCCTTTAAAACAAGTGCTAGTCAGATGTATCAACTGTTCTCCAGCTCTCAGAACCTTTTCTTAATCCTGAGTGTGGGGTTATTAAGAAATCCCAAACCTGTACAGTAAGATTATGGAAAGTTTAAACACTTGAGCCAAATGCTCACTTATCTGTTACGTTGCTTCAAATGAATTTTGTATTTTATTTTTTGGCGTTTTCCCCCCTTTTTTTGTATTAAGTAATCAATATGGATTATCTTTCTGGTTTAAAAAATAAATCAGTATTGCCACTAAAAAACTTGTTTTATTATTAAAAGTACTGCACCATCAAATATAAAACGCCTTAAAAATGTAGTACTAATAGGTCCATCTGGTTTTCTCATGAAAGTTTTCTCCATTCATTAAAAAGAAAAATTAAGGTTTTTCATAATATGTATTTCCAAAGACAAGAAAAACATTATGGTCTCCATTAATAAGAATTCATGTTCCATGCATGAAAGCTCTTTATGGGTCTGTTCCTACTGCTTGTTCCCAGGGTCAAGTCCCACCTGACACCTGGGAGAATATCTTGCACTTAGAAGGGGCTCTCCATGAGAGAGGTCCACATCAAAATTCAGGGAAAAAGCCTTTCCACCTCAGTAGAATTAAGAAATAGCTCTTGGAGTAAAAATTTTCACTCTAAGGTCAACACTAGCCTATCCACTTTGAGTCAGAATTTAAAAGGTAAGAATGCAGTTATGAAAATGTGCACAAAATGTTAAATACTGGTGGCAAATAAATACATCTTAATATGTTCTAACAAGCAAACGTATATTCAAGATAATACAGCCCTGTTTTACTGAAGAAAGAAAAGATCCAAATTCTCTTTGCGGGGTGGGGTGGGGCACTTTGCCATCCTTTCAGTAGGATGTTAGAGCATCTTTCCTGTTGTTTCCACTGGTACCCTGAAGGAGACCTTGGCCTTGCCCAGGCAGCCGTGACTCTTGCTGTTACAGGAGAGCCATCTTAGAAATGCCTTTGCTCATATCTGAACTGATTAACAAAACCTTGGAGAAAGCACAGTTTTAGTTTAAAAAATAATTAATTCAGCGTCTGTGTCATCATCCCATGCCTTTTAGGCCTGTCCAAACTGTACTGAAAGAACTTCACATTCAGAAAAAGTTACGGTCAGTGATTCTTCATATATATAAAATTCAAGTGAGTTCTTTGCGTGTTTCATATCACTTTTCTCCTCCTCTCATGCATAATTTATTGCAATAGTTCATTTTTTATAAAATATTCCCCTAATACCTTTTCTTCGGTTTAATACGGCACAATTTGCAAGTGCCCCTTTATAGACTTCGGTTTTAACCACTGCCTTAACATTTACTTCTTAGTGCAGCTTTAAAAATCTGAGTCTCCAATGTCATTCAGTCCTGATGCTCTGGTGTGGGGTCATTGTGGGACGGGTCCATGAAACCAGCAGCCTGCTAATGTCTTTGTGCTGAAATACAGTAAAGAAAAGGAAGAAAATGTAGTTAAGCACAAGTAAATAGGAGAAAAATGATGTCCTCGTTGTTTAAATTCGGCCCTATGTAGATTATGGGGTCACACTTACTTCTTTTAAATCAGCTAAACTTAACTGACACTTGAAAAAACCATTTACTTCCACTCTAAACCAGCAGAAGCATTCATTGTATTTCCAAAGTGCATCTGGCCAAATTCCAACACAAAACTGTTGTCACCTTCACAGAGTCAGTCTGCACTTGAGTAGATTTTTAAAAATCATTGTTGATGAATATTTGCCTTTGGGGGAAGGGGGGGCGTTTAGCTTCGTTCTCTATGCTGCCCCTTCGCCGGCATCCATGTTAACCTTTGGAAGTCCACACCGCTGCCTGCCGTGGGCCAGTCGGAGGCACCAGTGGCCTTCCTTGCGCGGGCTGCCTCCAGACGGGAGCCGATTCCTACCGGAAACCAAGCTAGGCGCGGGTCAGCGGCAGACCGTACCATCTGCGCATGCGCAAAGAGCAAACGAGGGGGGTGGAGGGTGCCTTCCCAGAGGGACACACAGCACATCAGAAGGCGTCCAGAGCGCCATGTTGCTACTCGAAGACAACTTCTGCACACCAGGTGGACTGACTAGTGTCCCGTATTACACCAGCACACCAGATCATGAGCAGAGGCTCTCTTCACCAAACCTCCAACAAGAAGCGAGACTGAGCAAAACATTTATAGAGGGTAAGGCTTAGAAAAATTACTGCCAGCATGACCGGAATTTCTGCCCAACATTATCGACTTCCCTTTAATACCAAGTGGTAAAAACCCCACTGCAATCCTCTATCATCCTTGGTTAATGCCTCTCGGACCCGGTAGACTAAGTAACAGTTAAGAGCTCAAATTCCAAAAGAAGTGATCGTGGAGACAATGATGATTTTTTTTGTGTGTCCAATGTATTTTTAAACCAAACCAAAGATCTGTGGCGTGTTCAGTGGAATAACAACTGACAAAATAAACACAGAATGCAAAAAGGGAAAAAGAAAAACCACCCTCGTCCTTCCCAATATTTAACTTCCAAACATTTCAAAGTAGGAATCTTTGCCATTCTTTGCTAGAACTCTTGATCTCCTGTTAGCTTCCTGGGTTGCCTCCCTGACTTACTGGATCGAGGCCTATAAAACACAGTAACCGGATATTCTATCACGTTTTCCTCAAGCAATGAACAGTGGCTTCTAGCTGTAAGTACCCCACACATCAGAATAGAAGGTGAATAGTCTTCGCTTCTGAAGAAACAATGATTAACACCTTTAAATCTGACATTGAACTAAGAAACGTTTATTTTTTAAAACTAGTATTGTAATACTCTTTAGACCCACACAAAGCTTGGGAAGTAAACTGAAAGAGAAGAAAAAAAGGAAAACAGCCAATCCCATGCACAATTCCATTTCCTTCTATTTACGACTCAGTATTTGGCTTCAACCTTAGGCCTATTCAAGTGGACAAGCAAGCCCAGGGTTGAAGCAGGTCTTACTATTCCTATGAGAGGTGCAGAAAACTAACACACCGTTCCCTCAAGAAATCACCATCAGCGTCGCTGCCATCCCTACAGTACAGCTCCGAGTCCAGAACCTCCCAGCCTCAATCTCCGATCCCAACTGTGCCATTCTGACCCAGCTCGCAACCACCACAGGGTTAAATAGCCTTAATTCAAGGAAGCAAAGAGAGAGAGGTTAAACGGCAGCACAACAGAAACCTTAAACCTTTTCAGCTGTGTAAGAGCCCAAACGAAGCCTTTAAGGCGCTATCCAAAGAGGTCTCAATAAATGTAAAGATTATGGCCCCTCTGAGTTTAGGCTTTCCTGATGTAAATGACAATGGTTTTGAGGTTAATTCACTAAGAAAAAAAAAAAATATATATATATATATGTTCATACGGATATACATAATCTTATAGATACACATTAAGAATGACTAAGAAGTGGATATAAAAGTGACAAAGACTGATAGGGAAAAGACAAGAAATCCACTATTTGACTTCCCACGGTGACTCGGTTGCTATGTGACATAACTCTACAACCTGATAGCCAACTTTTAGCACCCTAGGAGAAACTCCTTTCAGAGAAGCTCACAGGCGGCTAGCTCTACTTTTCTTAGCACGACTCAGTTATTGTCACTCGTTAAAACTGTCACCTACATGAGGTACACCCAGCTACCAAGGTCACTGAAAACTACAGAAAAAGAACGAATGAATTCTTTGAGGTCTAGCCTGATCTACTTCAGAATGATTAAGTGATGACATGACGCCCTCTTCACTCTGCGGCAGGGCTTAGCACAGACAGACCTGCCCGTCTCACTGTTAACTTCAATGCTCCCAGTCTGAATCCACAGTGGTCTGTCAGACACTGTAAGGGAGCAGCAGGACTCGTCACTGTCTGATGTAATAGCTGCCATTTGTTGAGACCTATGGTAGAAAAAACCAAGTTAACAAAAGGAGAGCAGTCATTTGAGTTCTTTCAAATCCACTTTACAAAAAAATTTTAAAAATAAGACCAAAATTCAGTTGAATTTTCATAATGTATTCTAGATAACTTGCTGACTTCACAGGAAGTGAAGCTTGGGTACGGAAAGACAAGACGTGAGGTGTGTCTACACACCAGCGCTAGCCAGGAGAGGGCACTCTCCGGCACCAGTCCGATCAGCAGCGACACGCCTTGGGACGCCCACACTGAGCGGCTAACTCCCACGTTAATGTTCCAGCTAAAAAACTTCTCCTAGCCTACTACTAACTGAGGGTTGCAGTAGTCCTATCTTCTCAGTATATGGCGAGAGCTGAAGTTGTCTTCCTTGTCCACGTTATTGCATCAGTGAGCTCAAAGACCCTATTTTGCAGAATGACCACAAACTACCTGACGCCTCCTCTCCTTTGCACACTAACTTAGGACCTGACCTTCCTGTGTGAGTCAGTACCTGCTTGAAGTAAGTTTGACAAGATAAGCTTTCTCACTTGGGCTTTCGGAACAGAGACTTCAAATAGAAAGAATAATTCAAATGAAAGACTGCTGTTTTAAGCCTTATTTTTAACATATTTGCTTGTCTTCTTACTCCCCTATTTTAAGTATAAACAATTCATCACATCAGGGTAGTCAACTCTGGGATCATTGATTTAGGGGATTTTCAGTCCTTATAATGAATGATTTTTAGAATACTAAAGTACATCAGAAACAGTAACATATAATCAAAACTTTTTAAAAAGGCTTTTCTGACATTGAGAAAGAAATGTCATACACATGATCTATAAAAATAATTACTTCTGAATTTTAACTCAAAGGAGAACAATTTTCTTAAATGAGACTTAATGAGATTATTCACCCTTTTGTTCATGGGAAAACTTAGATATACTATGTAAGTATATCTTATATACCTAAATATACTATTAACTGTAATCCAACAGCAATCACAGAAGAAAAAAAGTAATCCAAGTGCATGAAGCAATTTAACTTTGAACCTCTCCCTCCATAAGTAAAACTTGTTAGGTTTCAACAGTCATTCTGTATCTCTTCTTTGGGAGCGCCTCGGTGGCTCAGTCAGTTAAGCATCTGCCTTTGGCTCAGGTCATGATGCCAGGGTCCGGGTATCAAGCCCCACATCGGGCTCCCCCGCTCAGCAGAGTCTGCTTCTCCGCCTGCCTCTCACCCCACTTGTGTTCTCTCTCTCTTGCTCGCTCTCAAATGAATAAAATCTTTAAAAATAAATAAATCTTTAAAAAAAAGGAAGCAGGTCATGCTCTTAGAGGGAAGTTCAGCATTAAAAATAAAGAGTTAAGATTATATAAGATTATAGACAGGTACCAGTTATCTTGCTGAACACTAAGTTTTCCCTGATACAGTGTAGTATCATGCAACATGAGCAGGAAAAGCACATTGCCTCGTTCTTCTCATTCTGGTTTTCTAGCCTTGGTACTCTTTTTCTAACCAGTTATTCCAATAAGGTTTTAATAGTTCTTCCCAGCCTACCAAGATGCCCCTCCCAGCCGGATTCCTTGATAAAAGCTAAAGTGGGGGTGGCAATCATAGGTTTGTAGTTAACAGCATCTAAAAAATGAGCAATGGATAAAGAGGACTACCTTCTGGAAAATACAGCCACGATGCACAAAGATCAAGGCCGTAGAATGTGTATTTCCCTCCTAAAAAGTGGAAACAATCTACTCAATCATACCAGTAGTAATAAAAAATAAAAAGCAATGTTCAATATCCATTTTTTCATCACTTGGCAAAAAAATATTAAAACACCAGGGTCCCATGGGAATACAGCATTTGTGCAAATCGGCTAATTGATGCAACCTAAAGGCTGACAGGCATAGCTTTGTGCTTCTAATACCTTTGTAAAGCTCTCCTAAGAGGACCTCTACTCCACTGAGCCCCACCAGCGCAGATACTTCTCATGCCTCTCTGAAAGGACTTGGGATGTGCCAGGCTTCTGGGATGGCAACTGGTCGTTAGTACGTAACTGTCTGAACCAGAGTTACTCTTCCTCATTTATTCACAGGTAAACATCATTTCTCCTTTGTCAGGCCCTGTGCTTGGCATAAGGGAGAGTAGAAACGGGAGAGGAATAGACTGGAATTTATGCAATACATAAACGAATGAGGCAAGAGTTGAAAGAGGAGATGAATGCAGTTCTCCCTTCACTGTAATCCCCATGACCCCCAAACCCAGCGCCCTCCACAAATGTCTGTTGAATATAGTTAATGCCGCCTTCTAGATGTTTCCGGACAATCATACTATGATTACTGTAATCTCAGATAAGAATACATTGTAACACTTTTCATTTATAAGGTGTATATGTTGCACAAAGATAATTTCGAAAGCCACCAGGAGGAAATTCCTATGCCACACACAGAAAGTGGTGGTTGTGGCAATGGCAGCAAGTTCTCTCTCTAGGTCTTATGCCAGGCACTGCACTGCTTTAAACATTTAAGTTCTCACAATTACCTTATGAGGTACTATTATTCTCCCTGTATCACAGAGGAGGACACTGAGGTAACCCAAGATCACACAGCTAGCTTGTAGGAGTCAGATCCAAGTCTTCCTTTGAATCTAGGAAGAAATCTGGCTCAAGACCCTGTACTTTCAATCATGTGCCTGAAAAGTGAGAAAGAATGATTCTTTGCTCAGGGTGCCCGGCTGGCTCAGTCAGAGTGTGCAACTTTTGATCTCAGGGTTGTGAGTTCGAGCCCCACGCTGGGTGTGGAGATTAATTAAAAATAAATCTTAAAAAAAAAAAGATTCTTTGCTCAATAAAAGCCTAGTATGGAACACTGCTGGTCACTGTTAAGTTATATACTCCTAAGTATCCATTTCTATATTTTACACTCAACAGGAGAACCCTGACATTCCTCCAAAAACATTCTCCCCAAGCAAGCAAAAAACTCTTGTTTTACTCAGGAAAAATTATATCCCTTCTAGCCTTCTTCAGTAACTTTTTTTTTTAAGATTTTATTTATTTATTTGACAGAGAGAGTACAAACAGGGAGAGCAGCAGAGGGAGAGGGGAGAAGCAGGCTCCCTGCTGAACTGGGAGCCTGATTCGGGGCTCGATCCCAGGACCCTGGGATCATGACCTGAGCCGAAGGCAGATGCTTAACCGACTGAACCACCCAGGCACCTCTTTTTTCAATAACTTTTAAGGGAATCTGTGCTGGAGAGAACTAATGAGGGACACTGGAGTTACAAAGCTATCTTACACATTTCTTTTTTAAAATGCCTTTGCTAAAACTTGATATATATTATTACAAGTTTTTAGTTTAAATGGAAAGGGGGAAAGTGTGATAACAGCTTTAGCTATGGCATATGTGGTTTTCCTTCTAGATACAGGCACTAGCATAGAAAAAACTATGAGTTTCAAATCATAATTTCTGGTTAAGACTTAGATTTCTAAGTCAATAAAAAAGCTACCTGTCACATTCTTATGATACAAGGAAGATTCCATATTTATATTACAGCCATGTTTTCAAGTTACTTTTAATGGGGCCTTATAGAACTATTAGGAATTCGAGGAAAATTTTAATTCACACTTAAACCAAGTTTTAAGGGATGCCTGGGTGGCTCAGTCAGTTAAGCATCTGCCTTCGCCTCAGGTCATGATCCCAGGGTCCTGGGATCGAGTCCCGCATTGGGCTCCCTGCTCAGCGGGGAGTCTGCTTCACCCTCTGCCTGCCGCTCCCCCTGCTTGTGCTCTCTCTCTCTCTCTCTCTCTAAGACAGAAAGATACATACATACATACATATACACATACCTGCTTTTTTTTAAAAAAATAAACCAAGTTTTAAGACCATGTATTTTTTAACTGATCTTTTTCAACATCAAAGTTTTAAGAAATTGTTGTACAAATATAAAAGTGTCCAATAGAAGGCCTGTAAGTTAGACAACATATATTACAAGCCATCTAATTTATTCAGTGGAAAAATAAGAATTTGACTCAGAAATTTGGCATTTTGATAAATCCTTGTAATTTTTTTGAGTCTGCATCTCTTTTCCTTTACACCTCCCCATAACCAATCTTAATTTGTGCCAGAATAACAGGAATCTATAAGAAAAATTCAAGTTGAGCCATTACTTTTTTCCAGAAATTAGATGCATTAAAATTTGACTCAATCCATCCCAAGATGGATTTAAAGACATGATATAAAAATAATTTAAGGGGCGCCTGGGTGGCTCAGTCATTAAGCGTCTGCCTTCGGCTCAGGTCATGATCCCAGGGTCCTGGGATCGAGCCCCACATCGGGCTCCCTGCTCGGCGGGAAGCCTGCTTCTCCCTCTCCCACTCCCCCTGCTTGTGTTCCCTCTCTTGCTATGTGTCTGTCAAATAAATAAATAAGATCTTTAAAAATAATAATAATAATAATTTAAGGTGTGCACGTGTATGGCACAATTGGTTAAGCTTCCGACTTGGTTTCGGCTCAGGTTGTGATCTCAGGGTCATGAGATCAAGTCCCAAGTTGGGCTCTGCACTCAGCATGGAGTCTGCTTGAGATTCTCTCTCCTTTCCCTCTGCCCTTCCCACTCATGCTCTACGTGTTTTTAAAAAAATTTAGGGGCGACTGGGTGGCTCAGCCGGCTGGGCGTCTGCCTTCGGCTCAGGTCATGGTTTCAGGGTCCTGGGCTCAAGCCCCAAGTCGGGCTGTCTGCTGGGGGTGGGGGGGCCGGCTTCTCCCTCTCACTCTCTGTGCTTGCTCTCTCAAATAAATAAGATCTTTAAAAAAAATTTAGCATTTCCTACCAGAGTGTGGTACACAGGATAATGTGAGAATTTTAACACATATGTATGTCAAGGAATATTTGTTTGCCATTAACTATACTGACATAAAAAGTGAAAAAGTGAGTAACAATATACAAATTTGAAAATATGACAAAAAGTATGATGGTGTATAAATAATTTAAGTTTTGGAAGCTAATTAATTCCATTACTAAAGTAATTTAAGTGGTTTCCATATTCATAAAGTTGTCCAAAACAATTGTTTTTGTCACTGGGAGGGGATGGTTTTAACTTAAAACCTACTCGTAAAAGACTTTAATTGGCAGGCGCTTGGGTGGCTCAGTTGGTTAAGCGACTGCCTTCGGCTCAGGTCATGATCCCGGAGTCCCGGGATCGAGTCCCGCATCGGGCTCCCTGCTCAGCAGGGAGTCTGCTTCTCCCTCTGACCCTCCCCCCTCTCGTGCTCTCTCTCTCTCTCTGTCTCATTCTCTCTCTCAAATAAATAAATAAAATCTTTAAAAAAAAAAGAGAGACTTTAATTGGCAAATATAATCACAGTAACTCACCTAAAAATTTTACCAAGAGGCAGTTACAAACTGTTCTTAAAAATGGGGCGCCTGGGTGGCTCAGTTGGTTAAGCGACTGCCTTCGGCTCAGGTCATGATCCCGGAGTCCCGGGATCGAGTCCCGCATCGGGCTCCCGGCTCAGCAGGCAGCCTGCTTCTCCCTCTGACCCTATCCCCCCTCATGCTGTTTCTCTCTCTCTCTCTCTCTTAAATAAATAAATAAATAAAATCTTTATAAAAATGGGGCACCATTAGCACAGGACTGCAAGCTGATTACGCAGGAATGCCTGGAAACCAGGCAGCCCAGGTGTATGTTCCAATCACCGTGCTTGACTAAGAAAAACACTCCCGTGACTTTATCTAGAACATTATCAGCACAAATTTAAAAGATTTCTATCAAAATCCAATTGGAAGGATTGGAAGGATGGAAGGATTATGACGGGTACACATGTGAATGTACTTAATGACAGAACTGTACACTTTGTAAAAAAAAAATGGTTAAAATGGTTAAATTGTATATTAGGTGTACTTAACACTTTAAAATACAAAAAAAATTACAATGTTCTATTAATATGACAGGAAGAAATTTCCACCTGAAGTCACAAGGGAAAAAAATCGTTGAGTCTATAAATATTAAGTCTCTTGAGTAAAGATTAAATAAAGAGAGACTCAGTGGGTTAAGCGTCGGCCTTCGGCTCAGGTCATGATCCCAGGGTCCTAGGATCAAGTCCCATATTGGGCTCCTTGCTCGGCAGGGAGCCTGTTTCTCCCTCTGCCTGCTGATCCCCCTGCTTGTGCTCGCTGTCTCTCTGATAAATCTTAAAAAAAAAAAAAAGATTAAACAGAGAGTTGAGCTGTTTCTTTTTCTTTTTTTTAAAAGATTTTATTTATTTATTTGAGAGAGAGCACATGAGAGGAGGGAGGGTCAGAGGGAGAAGCAGACTCCCTGCAGAGCAGGGAGCCTGATGCGGGACTCGATCCCGGGACTCCAGGATCATGACCTGAGCCGAAGGCAGTCGCTTAACCAACTGAGCCACCCAGGCGCCCTGAGCTGTTTCTTTTTTTTAAAAAAAAGATTTATTTTATTTATTTGACAGAGAGAGAGAGACACAGCGAGAGAGGGAACACAAGCAGGGGGAGTGGGAGAGGGAGAAGCAGGCTTCCTGCCAAGCAGGGAGCCCGATGCGGGGCTCGATCCCAGGACTCTGGGATCATGACCTGAGTCGAAGGCAGACTCTTAATGACTGAGCCACCCAGGTGCCCCTGTTTCTCTTCTGATCTTAGTGTTGACTATCCATGGTAGAGAAACGAAGACATCCTGGAAAACTGAAAATAGAGAGCGCATCTCTATCACTGGGACTTT